GTTCCATTAGTTTATGGGAGAGTTTCACTAGTCAAATGAACTTAACACTTTATCTTTTGGTCTCTTATCTTGGAGATTTATTTTTCATAACCATAGCATTCAAAGTATAACCAGAAGTTGTTTGATGAACATGGAATTCTGGTGCAGTGGGCCACTTGGTTAATCTTCAGAGCTTTTGTCACCAACCTGCAGTGGCCTGAATAACAAGTCTCAACTTACGGTGCAGAAAGATGGGTTTCTCGTTTTCATGGGTCAGCTTTTGCTAAAGAACATTTAACCGAAATGGTCACATTTTCTTCTGTAATTTTTTTCATAACTGCCTTGTGAGGCATCTTTCTCTTGCTGGTCTGTTTGTTCAGAAAAAATATATACTGACTGTAATGACCAAAGTATTAGTTTTCATAATATAATCATATTTTAGTATTGCCTTCTTGAGTTATTTCCAAGTTACCTTGACCTTTGATTTTCACTGTCCTGAGGTACAGCTTCATGGTTGAGGTTTCTACAAGTCTTTTCACTTTGATTCTTTTAATTTGTTTGGAAGGGTAAGCTTAACTTTAATGTGGAGGTTTTGATAGATTTTTGACCCAGTTATCAATGCTTTTGGGGGGCTGGAGAGATATCTCAGTGGTTAAGAACACTGGCTGTTCTTACAGAGGACTCAGGCAAAATACACATAAAACTGTTTTAAAGAAAGAAATGCTTTTGCAGCTGGGTATATAGTTCAGTGGTATAATATTTGCTTAGCATGCCTAAGGCCTTGAATTCAGTTTCTAGCCCTGAAAAAGAAAGTTTTGATTTCTCATAATAAAAGAGATACTATCAGAACAGAGTGACTAAGTAGGAAACCATGGACTCTGGACCTAGCACAGTGCTCAATTACATATAATCATTTATCTTTGTTATTCTTGTATATATATAATATCCAGTAACAGATGAAGAAGCTGAGGCACACAGTTGATAACTTATTCTAGGTTCACGCTCTCGGTGACTATGCTAGATTGAAATTCTTTTAGTAATTCCAAAGCAGCTACTTTGAGCTCTATGTTTGCTGTTACTCCATTGTGTTATGCTCCAGGAGAAAAATGATTTCTGCCCAACAGAAATAGAACACTGTTGCTGACACTGTTAGTGATGATGATAAATGTAGTTTCAGCTCCCACTTTGTAATACATTCTCTTCATAAGTTTTTGTGAATCCATCTGTAATGTAGATAATTAAAAAAATTATCTTGTACATAAGATAATTAGGGCCAAAAAATCAAGTCTTCGAAAGTCTAACAGCAGATGATTAGATTTCCTGGCCCCAGCACTGAAGGCCAAAGGCATCGATGGATGGAGGTCTGTGGTACAATCGAAGAGTTGGGTCCCAGAGTAGCTCAGGTCTGCAGTGCATGGTCAAGTAAAGGAATCATAGGGAACAGATTAAATGGGGTAACAGGAATTTCTGAATGTCTTAAAGGATGAATACGAAATGGTCTTTCAGGGTCAGATGACAAATTGGAAACTGAAGCGATGACAAAATAGGCAGATATGTTTTTAGACAGTACAGTAAAGAACCGAAATAGACTGAGAAGGTCATGTGACAAAGATGTTTAGGGGAGATAGAGTTAGAGAACAGATGTTTATAGTTTTGTTTTGCTTTTCAGTCAGTAGCACAGGTGGGATAGCTGTTCTCAGATGTCACAGTACCTTAAATATTTAAGAAAAATTCAGTATGTGGCATTGTTAAATTCAAAACCTGGGAGAGGTGTTCTGTTGTCTTTGCAGCCTGTTGGTATGTGTGATAATGCAGGTAATATGAGATGGATGCTATTCTGGTGACCATATATTGCTCTTCTCTTTTTAACTCTCTAGGGGGTATGTACAAGAAGTAATTTGTCTATATTCTTTTTTTGCTTCCCTTCAGGAATGTGTGTATACATGTGTGCTATATGCAGGCATGTGCATATGTATGTTATATAAATGTATATATGTGCACATATTGGTATGTGGGTGCACACTTACCCATGTGTGTGCCTGTGCAGGACAACACTGGGTGTTTTTTCCCTATCTCTCTCCACCTTATTTTTTGAGACAGGGTCTCTCACTTTACCCCAAACTCACTGTTTGGGCTAGACTAATCAGCCAAAGAGCCCCCAGGATCTGCCTGTCTTCACTCTCCCCTGGAGTGCTGGGGTTACAGGTGTGTGCCACTGTGCCCAGCTTTTATATAAGTGCTGAAGACCTAAATGCAGTCTTCATGCTTGCTCAGTAAGCCCTTTACCTACTGAGTCCTTTCTTCAGCCCCTCAGAAACTATTTTACACCACAATAAATTACTAGTCTTTCTAGCATTATGTCTCCGGCAATCAAAGTATTCAATTACAGGACCTGATACAATCATGCCTATCCTGGTGGTTACTCTTTGGACATCCTCTTCTTTTTAACAGAGTCTTTTGAAAAACTGGGTTTGGTGGGACTCTATAGTCCTTAGTGTATAGATAGCTGTGGTTGAACAATGGCAAAAGACAATGAATTTGAGACCTAAAAGAAAAAGTATCACCTTCCCTTCCTTCCTTTTGAACTACTTTTAATGGATTTCAAGAATAACTGAAGTGCCTGGTAGAAGCAGGGCCTGCATTTGACTGAGCTTAATATACAGCAATGTAGATTTCAGGGGGTGGAGATAGAAGTGGTTTCCTTTAGTTAAGCTTTCACAGGGTAATTGTATAGTTCAATCTATAGACTCACACAGCCTAGATTTGGCAGACTTACAAGCAATTTGCACCAGTACTCTGTGCAGTGGACTAATTCATTCCTCATCTTTTCTGGACATTTGGGCATGAAACTTCTACTTGAGATTGTCCGGCAAGCTCAAGTTCATGAGCCTGGAAGCTCTGAGAATCTGAGTGCAGTGATTGGCATAGTATTGCTTTCTAATCAAACCAAGGCTGTGGCACTAAGCCTCAGCTGTCTTGCTCTAACTCTAACTTTTACAAAGTGCTACTTACCATTTCTTCAAGCTTTGGTCATGGGCCTGGAATTGAAACAACACCCCAAATTCCATGCCATTTGCCACTTGCTGTATGTCTTTTTGGCAACTTCCTCCCTTCTCTAGCTTCAGTTTTTACATGTTTGAAAAACAACAAGGGCATACTGAGGAGTTTGCAAATATGTTCTGAGACCACCTTGCAGAGTTGCCTAAAATGATTATAATGTCTGTGAGGAATCTGACACACAGTAGGCACTTTACATGCCCCACTTTCATTTTGCTTCATTCTAACCTGTGATCAGCATGCAGTCTTTGATTCAGAGTTCAGCATCCTAGTGGTGATCTGTCTGGAAAGTAAAGCAGAATGATTGCATGATGTGAGAAGGGCATTATGTCAGGGGACATGAAGTGTAATGTGGACATCTCAGTAGGAAACTCAAGGATTGCCCTGGTGAGAGGACTGTTGGCTTCCTTAAAGCTTCAGACTCATAGTTATAAGAACAAGAACATTAGGGCTGGTGGCATGGAGGGAGAGGGGAACTGCAGGCTTATGTCAGAATGCATTAGCATCAACTAAGACTTCTAACCCAAAACAACTGGCAGAAAAGTGAAAACTTCAGTCACAACTTCAGCTCCACTGTTGTGTGGTCTACATGAAAATAACCAGGCAGAATGATTTCCATTAGTCTTGGTGTTCCCCCAACCTTGTTTAGAAACCATCTAAGTAATTAATTTTTTTTGGAAATGGGTATCTGATACATCTATTTATAATACTCATGTTAAAGTTACTCATGATGTGTGGGTAAAATGCTTGGGGGCCCAACAGTTGATCTGGATTTGTCCTCTGCCTGCTGGTGTAAAGGGAGTGGTGGCATTGCAAGAAGGAAGAGCAGTTTTCTCCACCATCTTCTCCCATTTCAGAATGTTTCTGCTTCGTGGGAGGAGCCTCATTCCCCACAGATTCTCTACTAGGAACCTTTACCTCAGAAAATGTATTGTTGAATTTCAAGTTGATTTCAAAATATTAATGCATTCTTTCTGAAAACCCGGTAATGAGGGATAAGTCTCCTGCCCAGTTAGGCTGGGACTACTCCAGCAATGACACACTAGTCACAATTTCTAAGGAAAATAATAGTGGTAGCTCTTCATTAAAAATGTATTCTAAAACTAGGGCTGGAAAAAACAGGTTTTTCTGAGTTCTGAAGCGGTGTGGCTCTGATAGTACAGAGATTCTGTCATTCTGTTGGGAATGGATTGCTTAGAGATTCTAGAGCCTAAATTAGAGTTATTTCTCAGCTCAAATGGACTTTATCAAAGTTCATATGTATATACACATATGTGTAAATGTGGATATATATATATAATTTTCCCACACAGCCTTCTATCAGTATTATTTTGAGATGGGAAAATTAATTTCTGCTTCATAGTGTGGACAAAATATATTGATGAATTGGACATCTGAAATGGCTTGGAGGTAGGAGTCTGTTAACTTGAGGTTGTGCCTCACCACAGAGGCTGGATGCTTCTGTGTATGTGCGTGCACACGTCTCTGTGTGTGTATGTGTATGTATGTGTTGTACATACATGCACACACCTACTATCAACACTGGGGTTAAGGACAGCCACTTACTCCCTACTTCTTCAAACATTTTTATCCTTCTGTTTGTTTAGCTAAATAACAGATTTTCCTATAAACACTAAGAAATAATTTCATGTCATATATTATGCATATTTTAAGAGATAATTTTATTTGTAATAAGCAAATAGTAAATATCTAAGGTAATAATGAATTTAATTACTTTTGAAGTTCTTCATTTAAAGGGTGATTTGTAATAGTGTGGTGCTTTCTTAGAAAAAAATTTAGCATGTGACTTTTTAAAAGTTATTAAGAAAATCTGACTTACGTCAGATGGGAAGAGGTTGTTTTATAAAATTATTTTTTACAAATCTTTTGAATGTTATATTTCCTTTCCTGCATCTTTAAAAATAACCATTAATTCAATACATGACACGTGTTTCCTCTTGTAGTTAAAACAGAGCCAATGAGCAGCAGTGAAATAGCATCAACAACCACAGACGGGGCTTTAGACAGTTTCTCAGGTTCAGGTAAGGAATGAATTCCAATTTGCACGTTCTTCCTGCACAGACTTTCTTGTTTACTTACATATGAGTATGTGTGTGTGATGGAGTATAGGAATATTCTGGCATATAATACACATGTGGAATATAGCTCTTTTCCAAATTACAGATGAGCAATTCTGTTGTTTTTATTCATTGTGGCGAAGTGTTTTCCTGATAATGTTGGTATCCAAAGAAGATAAAGGATCTTTTATTCCCCTTTCTTCTAATAAATTATCTTTACTGTGCTAATGATGTCGCTCATATTCCCATTTCTATTATTTTTCCCAATTATGCAAATGTGGATAGGCAAAGTTTGACTTTCTTAAACACCATGGTACACCAGTACCCTCAAAACTAACTTGCACAAACAAGGCCTGCAGTAAGTTGACTGTGCATCCTTACATTTTCACCTCTTTCACACAAATAAACCCATCGGTGAACCAGTATGTGCATTTGTCATCTGTCATAGTCAAAGCACTCATGAGAATGTGGTGGTGGCAGTGACTTACTGTGAGAACCTGGCCACAGACTTGCTGAGTTACCCTGATGGGATGATTTCATTGGAAAGTGATTTCCACCAGAGATAATTCCTAAATTTTAAACCCCTTTCCTGTTATCTGCTAATTTATAGGATTGGCCTATTGGAAGTGTTGTGTCTTTATGAATTTATGATTAATAATAAAGTTCTCAGAATCATTTATTTGCGACACACCACAGCTAAGGGAAATTATATGCCGATATAAAATTAAATATAATTGCATAATTTGGGCACTGATGATAGCAGATGGAAGAAATGAGAAAAGATCAAAGCGTATTATGTCCATTTGTTCTTTTACAAAACATTTACTGGAATTTGACTTATGCCAGGCAAAGTGCTTTGTGCAATTATGAGTTCATAGATGTATGAAAATGGTTCCAGTTCAGGGCATAATGGGATCAGCAAATGAAAAATTATCCCAGTACAGTTTGACAACGGCAGAGGGAAGACCCAGGTTTCCAAGAGCACCCAGGTAAGGACACAGTGGAACTCAGGCAGAGATAGGCTGGTAGGAAAAATGCCCCGGAATAGATGCCTGAATTTAGTTTTAAGAACCAGGATAGGGAACCAAACAGACTGGCCACTCCATGGGAGGGGACCATAACACAGAGGGCATGGGATTCAGGAACTAAGGGTGCTCTAACCTTCCTAATGTGTGCTGTGTGAGCAGTATGGATATGCTGCAGAGGGGACCAGGGCAGAAGTCCAAGGAGGACCACATGTTCTACCTGGAGTTTGTTTTAGCTTCTGTGCAATGGGAGACATCAAAGAAGAGGCTGCTGATTTGTTCCTTATGCACAATCATAAGTGCTGCGACACGTGCTTGGAAACATTTGAACTCAAGTGAGAGGCCAATTACAGCATTTTGAACTAAACTGGGGAAGTAATATTGGAGACGAGGTTTAAAGCTGACAGTAGATGAGGGAAGATGACAGAGTTGATGCATTTATGCAGTAGAGTTTAAGTCATCTATGACCAATAGGCATTGGGGGAAGAAAGCAAGGCAGAGAGAGAAGTAGAGCGAGGTGTATGTTGAGCATAATTGATACCTCAGTCTGGGGCATGTTGAGTGAGAGTATGAGCTACCTGAAGATGTCAGGTATATTAAGCCTGATAGCTCAGAAAGTTTGGAGATGAAAATGTTGGAAGCTTACAGGGTGGTAAAGTTGGTGGACTGTACTAAGATTGATGACAGAAGCCAGAGCATGTACAAAACTCAATGACCTGAGAAAGTGTAAGTTATGTGATAATGCATTTATTACTATCACAGCTTTATTGTTAAAGAAAGGCAAGTTATATATATGAACATGTATCTATGTGTATGGAAACAAAAATAGTGTTTATGGATGGTGGGATAAAATTTGACTGTTATTTTCTCTGTTATTGTGTTTTCTCCAGAATTTCTTTATTAAGCATATGTATGACATTTATGCATCCAAAGATTATAATTTTAAGTGCAAGTTGAGGGGCCGGAGAGATGGCTCAGCACTGTGGAGATGGATGTTCTCTTACTATCTTAGGAAGAAGGATGGCAGTAGAGCCAAACTGGTGGATATGGTAGCTACCTGTCTGTCTCATAAGGAGATCTAGCAATGTCCCCCGACGCCAGTGTGGAAACATTGGAGGAGACTGGTTAGTTTTCCGAGGCATGCAGTTGAGGGGAAAGCCACAAAGTTGTTAATTGAGTTTTGAAAACATTGTTATGTTTGGCTCATTTATCCTTGACCAGTACAAAGCAATTATCTTAAAATTTATTAATTAATTTCATGCATGTATGCCATAGTGTGGAGGTCAGAAGACTATTAGTGGAAGTTCATTCTTTCCTTACACCATATGAGTCCAGGTACTTGAACTTAAGTTTTCAGCCTTGGCAGCAAGCACCTTTACCTGCTGAGCCATTTCTTCATCCCCAGAATTTTAATGATTTGAAGTTTTTACGACCATAAGAATTGACGATAATGTGGGGTTGGAGAGATGGCTCAGCAGTTAAGAACACTGACCGTTCTTGCAGAAGACGTGGTTTTGAATCCCAGCACCCACATAGCAGCTAACAACTGTCCGTAATTCCAGTTCCAGGGGACCCAACAGCCTCTTCTGACCTCTGCAGGCATTGTACAACATGGGTGCACTCACTCACATGCAGGCAGTCCACGCATACACAGAAAATAAAAATAATAAATAAAGTATTTTTTTAATTGAAGATAATGTTGTATTGCCTTTGGCTACTCCTGACACATCTGTAAAACCTAAATTTGTTACTAGTTGTTAGTCAAGCATCTCATGCAGTTGATGATATCAATCATACAATGTCTAGTGGTATTATAAAATATAAACAAGTGAGTGCCTTTTGGGAAAAAAAGCATGTATGACAAATACAGTTTGTTAACTGTTCATGAAAAGACATAACCTTGAGAGTCTTATTCACCATTCACCAGTTACAATCTGTTGTACCATGTTATAGTTACTGGGAATACAGCAAAGAAAAGATCCATGCCCCGCAGAGCTTTCATAGGTTTGAGAGGGAATCATAACATAGAGAAATGGTGAGCCTTGCTCTACATGGATCAGGAAAAGTACTATGAAGCAAATGAAAGATGGGCAAATAGTACAGGGGGACAGTGGGTGGGCTTCCTTTTTAGAGGGAGCCCCTAAAATAGAAGGCATCTGAGCAGAGACTGCAGAGAGTGAAGAAATAGTATGGGGTGGAGAGTTTGGAGCTGAAGGTACCATAGGTTGTGGCATGGTCTAATTTGTGTCTTAAATTGTTTGGGGTTGGGGAGATGGTTCAGCAGTAAAGTCCTTGCCCTGCAAACATGGGAACCTGGTTTGACTCTCTAACACCCATGTAAAAGTCTGATCACCAAAAACTAAGATGAAAAGCTATTAAGGAAGACACTACATGTTGACCTCTGGTCTCCTCACACAAGTGCATGCAGGCACATGTGCACACACACACACACACACACACACACACACACACACAGAGGCCATTGTTTATTACATGGAAAAGGCTTACAGGAACAAGATGGAGGGAGGGAGCTCTGCATTTCCCTGGCTCAGAAGGTCACATCTTCCCAGAAGAACAAATGGGTCAAGGCTAATATGCCAGGATATTGTTAGGGGGACGTTGTATAGGAGAAAGGGAAGGAAGGAATGAGAGGCTAGCTAGAAGTAACTTAGGCTGCCTTCAGTTCTAATGCACTTCAGTGGGGCCATCTCCCAGACATGCCATCCTGCCCAGTACTTTGTCACTGGCCAGCAGCCCTTCCAAACGTGCCATCCCTGTATGGGTACAGATGGACTTCAGAACTTTATTGTAGAGATCTTGTTGGGTTACATCCCATGCAGTGGAGATGAGGAGGTGCCTTCTCTGGTTGCCATAGTGTGGGATCGGCTCAAGGAATGGAGTGGAAGTGAGAAGCTGACAGGGAGAGCTAACACTGTGCTTATGATAGAAGGATATGTGAGTGTGAAGGAAAGAGAAGGGTGAAAGCTCATGTCTGTTTTTGATCTGATTGGTTGAGGGATGTCACCAGTGATATCAGAGCTGCCTGGGGGAGGAGTGGACTGAGGTCAGGTGAATTCTGAAAGTTCTCTGCATCTGCTCAGTGGATTCTCTTTCTTGGAATCATTGTTCACTTTGAATTCTCTTGTCCATACAAGATTTGGGGGAGCTTCTTTCATGTCTGTGATGGAAGGAGAGAAAAATAGAGTAATTGCATATAAATATGCTAAAACACAGGTTAAGGAGACACAGGTTGTCTGGGTAGTTCCAAGGCTCTATGAGTCATGTCATTTGGAGTTTATAAAGGGTAGGGTGACTATTTTATTCATCCTCATAGCTAGTCTGGAGCCATTCCATTTGCTCTAGCTTATTCTGGTCTCAGAACATTAAAATCCACTGGAATCTCTGGATTCCTTTTGCAAAGGTGGTTGAGACTATTAAAAGTACTTAAACTTAACATGGTAGATATTTGGCTATGAGCTACCAGAGGTTTGCAGGGGTTTGGATGCAGAGCTCTGGGATATGGCATGTTCTACCAGCTGAAATAGTCATTAGGTACACTTAACTAGGTAAAGAGCATCAAGTCTTCATGGCCCATTCATTATTTCATAGGAAATACCATTTACTCCAGTTTATGGATCAACAAACTGGGTAAAGTTCTTATGACTGCAGTCGTATTTTGTTTCATTTTTTGAATTTAGTTATTTATTCTTTGTATGTATATGTGTATGTACTTGAGGTATGCTCCTGCCCCATGGGCATCTGAAGGTCAGGGGACAACTTGTAGGAGTCAGTTTTCTCCTTCCATTAACTCAGGTCATCAGGCTTGGCAGCAAGCAGCTTTACCTACTGAGTCATCTCACCAGCCCACAATCTCATTTTTACTACACGAATACTACTTACAGATTACTTACTGATTACTAGGCTTTATCAGGTGCTGAGGCAGTGGGGGTAAGAAGTCCCTGGTCCCTGAAGCTCATGGTCAACAGAAAAAAGTAATGACTACATACTAAAATACATAATGCAATGTGCTGAGTGCTGCTTTGTCAGTGTGTATAACAGCCCAAGAGAGTGCAGAGAAGGAAGACGTTATCCTAAAGAGAAAAGCAGCAGTTTGGTCCCCATGGTGGTAGGTTGGTCAGGCAAAGGAAGGAAGAGCATTACAAGGAGATGGCATAGTGTGAAGAACAGGATAAGCATAAAAATGCATGATGCGCGCAGAGTCCTGAGGAGCATGGCTGGCTGCACTGCACTGAGCCCAGGAGAGCGGCCGCTTCAGTCTCCTGTACACCGAGCTGAGGAACTTGGCATTTATTCTTAGAATAATGTGAGTGACCAAAAGATCAGGAGCTGTGGAATGAATGTGAAGAGCCTTCACTTAAGAAAGATCCTATGGTGGCAGGAGGGAGGAAGAGTGGGAGGTGACGGTGGTTGCCCCTAAGTGGAACACAGGGCAAGTGCTCCCTTGGCTGCAGGTTATTTCAGTGAGGCATAACGAAAGGAGGAAGTGAGGTGATGGTGAGGCTTCTAGTTCCTGGGTAGGATGTCAGGGGAATGAATTTCGATGGAGGAAGTTTATAGGAGCTGAGTTCTCTGAGTTCAAATGTGACTCTCTCTCTCTCTCTCTCTCTCTCTCTCTCTCTCTCTCCCTCCCTCCCTCTCTCTCCCTCTCCCTCTCTCTCCCTCTCCCTCTCCCCTCCCCTCCCCCTCCACTCCTTTCTCCCTCCTCCCCTTCTCTCTCTCTCCTCTCTCCAAAGATACTATTTCTGTCTTCCCTGAGCTCCTCATGTGTAAAACAGGGGTCAAAAATCCCACTCTTGAGCATTTCCTGGACAGATTGTAATAAAATGAATAAAATAAAAATGAATAAATGAAAAACACAGAAGGGAGGCTGGGAGTGGCCTCAGCCAGTAAAGCACTTGCCTTACAAGCATGAGTACCTGAGTTTCACCCCCAGAACCCATTTAAACAAGCCAGCTGTCGTGGTCTGCACTTGTAATCTCAGCTGAGGGGAAGCAGAGTTATGTGGGCTCCTAGGACTCCCTGAGTAGCCAGTCTAGCTTAGTGGGTGAGTTTCAAAGGCAACCAAGACATCCTGTCTCACAAAACTAGGAAGGATACCCAAGGCTGACCTCTGGTCTCTGCCTCCACACATACACACTTGCATACATATGTGCATACATATGTGCATCTGCACACACATAGAATGTTAATACAAAAAGAAGGGTAAAGGTCATGACAAAGATAGTGGGAATTTGAGAAAGTCACTTCTTTATACAAACACTGTCCAAATAACTGTCAGTTTTCTCATTTTGTCTTCACAGGCTCTGTGAAGCCTGGGGAGCAAGCGGTGTTGCCATCATCTTATAGAGGCTTGGAAGGGCTGATTTGAGACCACATATGAGAATTAGAATTTAATTGGAACTGAAGTGAAGTTCTGATCCCAACACTGTGCTCAGTTTCCACACCCCATAGCCCCTAATTCTTATTTTTTTCATGTATATACCGTACATATACTCTGATTGCAGGCTTCACAGACTTACCTTACCCTGTGTGATAAACAACCCGTGTATCTTTGCTTTCTTTGTAAATACATTGATGGGTGAGACTTACTTAGAGATTAACTTTTCATGAGTCATGACCCACAAGTTGAAAAACATGGTTTGGAGCTAGAAAGAATAAAAGAAGTTTCTGTGGTCTCCATCATCAGGCAGCATTGGGGCGTTTGGTTTATAGACAATTATTTTCATTGTGATTGTCCAGGGAAGATAATTCTCTCTGGTAACCTGGAGGAGAGGTCTCCTTTGCCTTCGGACTCTTTTTTTTTTTAAGAGTTAGTCAAGGGCAGTGGAAGAGGCTGTCCTCACAAGTGGCAGTCCTGAGTCCAAGTGTGTTGTTCTCACTAACCCCTGCCTTCTAGAAACCACAGTATTTAACAAATTCTCCCACAGGGGAAGACAGGACTTATCTTTGGGTGATTGCTTCCTTACCCTTCAGCAACAGGCCTGGAGCCAAAAGGGATGTGGTAATTGCCAAAAGTTAGGGAGACACAAGCTGGCCTGTCCCACCATCTCTTTAGTATAAACTGCACCTGCCGAGGTGACAGCCCAAGGGTAGAATCTGGCAGTTTGCAAGACTAGGAAGCATCTAGACCTGTTGTCCCTGAATTATCTCTCATTTATTTCCCTTGGAAAGGGCAGCTCATCTGTTTTAAGGTTCTATTTAAGGTTTAAATCTGCTCCCTTCTCCCAAGCACCCAGTGGAAAACAAAGGGTAACAAGAATAAATGCACTGTGACAAATGGGAAAACATACAACAGTGTGAGTTCATGGGACTTTACAGAAGAATGTGAGTAAAGAATACAGTTATTATTGCCACAGAGACCCTGGAGACGGTGATTATTAGTGGAAGAAGAAAGTAAGCATATTGCAATCTTTAGTAACTGTAACAGATAATATGTATCTTAGCAAGGCAGAGATTAGGAAGCTTGAGGGGAAAATATGCAAACACAAACAAATATGAAGAGGTATAGATGATTATGTATATGTCTATGTATATATCTGTATACGTGTATACATTGTTATATGTAGGTATACATTCGTATGTTTATAACAGTACTTAAGAAGCACTGTTTTAAAACTTTATCCTGATTAAAATGGACTTTTGCTTTTTTAGTTCAAAATGAATCAAAAAGCATTTGCTAGAAGTTTGGTATGTTTCTGAAACATACTGAGTTAAGTAAATCTGATGAAAAGAAATAAGAAATTAAGTTTGGCTTGAATACTTAAATGCCTCTTAAGAAAAATAATTTTTTACTGGAATGTCGAAGTTGAAATACACATAACTAAAAGAAAAGGAAAACACAGATCAGCCTGAGAAAACACAGGTTTAGCTTTCAACTCGAGACATTTAAGATAGTTGAAGGAATGCATTTTTACTTAAAAAAATTGTTAAATCAATGCAGGCAAATGGAGATTAGACCAGGTCTCTCGCAAATACAGGCCAAGGTCTGCCTGCTCCTGCTGCCTATAGACAATAAGCCAAAGGATCCTTCAGCTTCCTACCTTCCCTTCAGCCTGACTTTCCTGAAGGAAGACCAGACTCCTCACAGTCTTATAAAGACCTCACAGCATGAAGGGTGTTTAAGATTGTGATTGTGTTTTCTATGAGTCTATTTAAAATTAGAGCCACTCCTATGAGTTCATTTTTATAGTTTTAACTTTCTATTAGGGGGAACCATATAAAATCACCATGCCTGCAGGTCACAGAGGTCAAATACCTGAAATTTCCTATGGTAAAACTATAATTCATTATGTGCCAGTGTTTTCTACATCGTTAGTATTTTATTTTATTTATTTATTTATTTTTTTGGATTCCCATTCATTGTTTTACTCTTTTCCTCAGCTCTCGGGAGCAGCAGCTTCAGTCCGAGGCCAGCTCACCAGTTCTCCCCAACACAGATTTATCCTTCCAAGTAAGATGTATTTTCTCTTAATCAATAACTTTTCTGAGTAGACTTTTACCTTATTTCAAGTCACATCTCTGCCCATGTTAGATCTTAATTTAAGTGAAAATGAATTTGTTAGAAGCTTAGTTAAATATGTATGTGCAAATTGGTTTTGAGCACCACCCGGCAGACACTGAAGAATGTCAGTGCTATGGTGAATTAGAGTTGAAAGTTTGACTGTAAGATACACTCTTTAACTGGAATTTGTGATGTGGTTGTTCATTGGTTACCTTGCATGTTTCCATCTAATGCATGGGCTTTCTATTTTCTGTCATTCCTGACAAATAGCAGACCATACCCACATATTCTCCCTACCCCTTCCTCACAAACTATGGCTGCATATGGGCAAACACAGTTTACCACAGGAATGCAACAAGCCACAGCCTACGCCACGTACCCACAGCCTGGACAGCCTTACGGAATTTCCTCCTATGGTGAGTCATCTGGCCATTGCTGTAGTGATGAGCTCTAGTGAGCATATGAATGTTTTTGAGTGGTACTTCAAGAGTGTTGATATCAGGTCATTTTAGAAAGTGTTGTCACCTTTCGTTTTAAATTCTTCATGTGATTCTTTCTAGTTAGCATTGTAAGGACAGTGAACTCTTATTTTGAAGTCAGAGGTGGTAAACAGGTTCCCTGGGTCATGTTCCTCTCAATCTCCCTTTTCTCCACTTATATCTCAACACTGAATTTGGCATCTGAGCCCTTGGCTCTGGAATTCAAAGTATTTTGTGCATATTTGCGATAAAACTTCTATGAACGAAGTCTTTTGGGGTAAAGATCCATTTCCTATTTATCAGATGCCTGGCTATGATTAGGAAATTACATGTGGAATTCAACAAACTCTTGCCCATACCCTGGGGGTGGTTGTATGATCAAATTTCAGCGTTATCACCCATTAGGAAAAGTGATCTATATATCACCTCCTGGACCGCACTTTGAAGGGGCAGATCAGGAAGCGTTCAAAGCTCACATGCCATTTGTTCCTTCCTACCTGGAGATTATCTTTATCTTGGTGTAATTTAACTCAATTGTTACAGGGTCAATACCTGTAAATTAAAAATAAATCCAACCAAATCCCAAAGTTCTATTTACAGAAGACTTCAAACTTCGAAACACATTGTCTTCCATTGAGCTGCAATTGGAATTTTAAACAAATTAAACCAAATAGAAATATATGAAGCATTTGTATTTTATTAGGAAAACAACACAGAACTAATGATCTCTCTCTCTCTCTCTCTCTCTCTCTCTCTCTCGGAGTTTCCCAGAAGATATATATATATATATATATATATATTTGAGTATAGGAGAAGAATGGAAGAAAAAGTCATTCTATACTTGATAGCATATAATTTTGACAACTGGTCTAATTATACCTTCACTGGTATTTTAAAATATATTTTCAGCAGCATACTGAAAGAATTACTGTTCTTTTTAAGTATTTCATTCATAATTAAAAGGTTAATCAAGTGAGGTGGCACTCACATTTAATCCCAGCAGAGGCAGGTGAATCTCAGAGAGATCCAGGCCAGCCTGGTCTACATATTGAGTTTCAGGCCAGCTGGGAAGATTCTGTCTCAAAAAAAAACAAAAATTAAATGCTTAGTTAAGTTATATTCCTTTTAGCATTGTGTCTGGACCTCAAGCCATTTGATCATATATTGTCTCATAAAATGCATGAAAATAAAAATCTAACTTATATAACTCTAGCTTTTATGGTTTTATTTTGGAACCATCAGAACTTAATGTTATGTAGCAAGGTGCTTATTTTAAAGCAGGCTTTAGAAACAGCCTTAAAAATAGACTTTCTGAAGTGATGTTTCATTTCCATGACTTTTATTTAAAAATTTTCATAGTAGGAGATAACACATCAAAGTTTCTGTAATGTTCCTTTCAACTACGTGGGGATGAAGGAGGGAGGATCTGTGATTTGCATTGTGAAGCTTGTGTGCTTTAATTTGTATCAAAACAGTCTTCACTTTATGTGCTCAGAATTGAACTTGTAGGTTGTTTGACATGACCTTCGACTTTTTAGCAGACACAACACAAAGCACTGTTAACCTACTAGCTCTGACGTGCAGAACCACCCCTGTCACTGCCCCACTCCCAGCTTCCTGCCCCTCTCTCCTTCCTTCTCCTCAGTCTAAACCATGAGCGAATGGACCTGCAGTCTGAACTTTTGAAGGAGGGGAGCGGAGCAGAGGGTGAGCCAAGCAGAAAGTCAGAAGTGGCAGAATGAGGACTGTGATTTTACTGTGATACTTGGGGATGGAGAGTGATTGAGGAGGCTCAGTAGAAGAGGCATGGACCCCTGCACTTTCCATGGTTGCAAGTTTCCTGGGCATAATTTTCAGTCCTCAACCTTTTCCTGATCTTCCCCTTCCCTTTCGCTCTTTTGGAGCCTTGGTTACAGGGAGATGCCCTGAGTGCTTCTGGCTGAGAGGTTCTATTTTCCTTGTACCAGTACTGAAAAATAATGCCACATTGTCCCTTTTGCTATATCTGGAAGGAAGAACACATGCTTTAGAGTTTTTTTTCTGCAGATATTCAAGGTCCAGATTATTTTAAAACACTTTCTCTAAGGGCCTGTGACCACTGACTTTTTACTTAGAGCACAGATTTTCATAGGGGAAATAGCAGGGTAGTTTGGGGAAAACAATTCATTATTCCTTAGATTAGACCCCACTCCTCTTGCAGGCCCCTAGAAGATGAGCTTCCTGCCTTGCAGGTAGAATTCTGGGGGATGGATGTAGCTGTTGGTGTTGTCTGCCTCTACTTGAACCTCCAAGCTAAAAGCAGGTGGTGCTGTTAGGAGATCTGGACACTCTTGAATGGAGAAAGAAGGGGGAAAGTCCCTAGAGGTGACACCATGGGAAGGAAGGGAATTTCCAGAACTATCCAGCCACCTGTCTGGTGCAGGTGTGTTTCCAGTGATCATTTACATGTATGAGTTGTTCACTGACTTGAAATTGCCTATAGATATACGCATCACATTTTTTTTTTTACATCATGTCCAAACCTTTCAATGTTAAGGTCACTATGAAGTTTTCAGAGATACTCAAGCACTCTCTGCCGAGATCCTTCCACTGCCTTAGGATAATTACCTAACTTCATTCTACCGATGAAATTACCCTAAAATGGAAATAAACAGCAAGACTACTGTGTATTCTAGATCCTAAAGATATCATTTATCTTAAGGGAAAACCAAGATTATTGAAAAATGTGAATTCTCTTGGCAGGAATGTTTCCCTCTTCCCTCTGTGGGAATTAAGGACAGTTGCTCATTTTCAGGACTGTCTTTAATTATGATTCGGAGCAGAGCACCTCAGTGTTGGCAAGCCCAATCCTGGAATTAGTATGCCAGTCTTGTGCTTTGGGAAGTACTTGGGACCACAAATAAATTATTTTTGTGTGATCATATAAGAACATAAACCTGTATTTATATAAAAATATAGAAACAAATGTACTTTAGCCTGCATTTAAGAAGAATTATTTAAGTATTTGAAAATAAGGGATGATAAGGTCACTACTGGCCATTTTCATCTGTTTATAAACCACTGGGTTATTTTCAAGGTTCAGTTCTTTGACATTCTTCTTTTCTTGTGCTTGCTTTATGGAAAAATCTAGAAACTTGGGAGAAACTTTTCCCCCTTGCCGCTTAGTTCTGTATCAGTATTGCTTCCTCTGACTTCAAAATGCATTGTGTTCTCACATCAACTCTATGGTAGAAAAAAGAAAAAGAGGAAAAAAAAAATTGCCAAGCTAGAGACTCTAATTAATGACTTTTCCTGGAAAGAGAGATTTTTATTTAACATGGTGACTTTGAAATGGCTGTCTAACATTGCATTATGGCTGTTCCTTGACTATGAAAGAGATGTCCAACTGTAGTAAAATAATTAAAGGAATTATAGAAATGATGCCTCGAGAGTTATACTTTCTAGAAAGTGACATAAAGGCAATCAGAGTGATTTATGTAACTTCTAGATTTCTTAAAAACTGAAAATTTATGGTGTTTCATAGTGAGCATTCATATCCTGTGCCACCATGGTACAATTTATGAACGATCGGTTGGAGGTGTGTGATTTTATTTATTTGCCAGCTTCTGAAAATGGACAGATAGATCAGCTGTCACTAACTGATTTAGGTGCATTGTGGGCAGGCATCAAGACAGAAGGTGGACTGTCACAGTCTCAGTCGCCTGGACAGACGGGATTTCTCAGCTATGGCACGAGCTTTGGTACCCCTCAGCCTGGACAGGCACCATACAGCTACCAGATGCAAGGTCTGTATACAGTCTTCCATTGCTTTCATTCAGTTATTGGCTGAGCTTTAATTTCTAAAGTAAACCTGCAGTTCTCTGAGATGGGAGTTGATGAGGGAAGTGGATTGAGCTGAGGCAGGACAGCTGCACATTTCTAATTTACTTCTTTACTGGCTATTTTCCGAGTCTGAATTTCCATATTTATAGTATGAAAGACAGACTGGATAATTTATAAAGATTATTTTACAAATGCTATAGGACTTTTTTTTGTAATGCTGAAGTTGCTGCTTTTGTTTCTAAAGCTCTCAATTAGATTTTAAAAAATAGATAAAGAGAATGAAAAGACAGACAAAGTCAACCATGTAGGAGGCTATCATTTGAAATGTAGTAAACTGTACACTTGGCGTTAACTAACAGCTAAGAGGACCGTGGTTTCTTCATTTTCATGATGGAGTGGGGTTTGAGGATAGCAATCTCTTCTCTACAAATAGAGTATGTAACATGATTGACTTAATGATCTACCAATGACAAAATCAAATCTACACAGATCCAATTATAGGTAACCCAATAGATTGTCAAGACAGTGCTTCTGAGAACCAACACTCAGGGTTCTCCTTGAAATTGCAGACAAAACATAAGTGAAATTCAAATGGAATGATAATGCAGATTTTACATGTTCAAAGCCATCTCAAGACTACATACACATTACTTGTAATTAACAGATTGTGATAGTGCAAACATACCTGTCTGTAAGGGACTTGAGAAGTTTCATGTAATTGAACATTCTTTTGACATCTTGTGTTTACCACACATCAGCTTCACAAACTGTGCTTAGTCTTATAATGGTGCTAAGTTGCAGAAATTCACTCATTCCTACTTTCTGCTGGAATTCTTTTTATGTTTCTCATCTTTTTATACTTATTACGTGCTTATTAGATTACTATTTGCTGCAAATAAATTAGAAAATGTGGAGAAGCAAAAATAATTACAGTCATATATCCCACAGACAGCATTCTGTGCATATGCAAAGGTGACTACATTGTGCATTATTGTCTCATAATGTGCTGTTTTGGGGAACAAATATATTGTATACATTTTTTCACATCAGTAAGTTCTCTTTCAAAACATCATGGTAGTGGCTGCATGTATTCACCAGTGCACTATATTGACTCCCCTAATATTGGGAATGGAGAACAATGCTATACAAATCTTATCTGCATCTTTAATTATTTCTTTCAGCAGGTGTAAATGGGAAATTTCGACATAAGCTGTTTTCTGCTAATTTAAGCATCAAGTATTTACATAAGGAAGGACTGTGTATTATGCGTGCACACATTGGTGTATGTTGCTGTTTGATGCTAACTTTATATTTGTTTTTGTATGCATTTTTTAAATGGAGATAAAATGTTCTTTCTGTTTACTGGTATTATTCATCTTTGCTTATTTTGTTTAATTATTTCTTATATTAAGATTTTTTACCTTTTTATGCTATTTTATGCCAAGTTAGAATTGTATTGGTCAAGGTCCACTAATTTTTTCACATTTGGTTTTGCTTTTGATATAGAAAGGACTGAATTATAAAGTTTTGGTAGTTTAATAGCTACAAAATAAAACTATCTTATAGAAGATGGGATTTATTGGTAAAAGGAAGCTACTTATATGCCATATTCTAAAACTTTTAAGCTACCTTGAAAAAGAGCTAAGTCTTTATGTATACTGAATATCCATTGAGTAGAGGCATCAAGGGAACAAAAGGTGATGGAGAGGCTTCATTGATGAATTTCTCAGAGCTCGACTAGAGCAATGAAAAACACCGTAAGGCAGACAAGATCTGTTTGCTCATAGAATTTTCATTCTTGTCAAGGAAAGAGACAAGCAAATTAATCCACTCTAGTTCCTCCAGACTGTGAGGGAAACACACAAGAGACCATGGTAGGTCCCATTGTCTACCAGTCACGCGGCCTTGTGGAGGAAAAGCGATGCTAAAGGAGAGGAGATGACTGCTATGTCCTCTGAGCAGAAGCCAATGCATGTTTTCAGGTCTGAGCTGGTCTTCAGCCTCTGCTTGCCCATATGCTGGGGCCAAGAACAGAAACTCAGAGCTGGTGTTTGAGAAACTAATACTCAGTTGCTAGCAAATTTCATGTTGATGAGTCAAATGATTCTTAAATGTGATTTTTGTATTTCTTTTTTATTTCCCTCTGTTGGTCATATGTAGATAATTGGGCTTTGTTTCATTGTCAATCTGTAAAGGCTAGGAGGGAAAACCTGTCCTTGGACACAGATAATTTAAGAAATAGAGGTTGAGTATCACTCACCAAAACAAGTGTGCTTTCAGATGATTTTGGATTTTAGTACATG